TTATCCGATCGATCGATAATCCTATTTTCGTCAAAATACTATCAAAACGCTCGATTTTAAATCGCGAACTTTCTAGCGATCGAAATATGAGTTTTTCCGAAACGAGATGATACAATAATCATATCACAAAATCTGTATTTGGGTTCATACAATCAGACCTAACATACAAATCTAGGGTTCTTCATACCTAGGTGAATAAGAAAGTTACTCCATAGAGAGAGATGGGAAATCTAGCTTAGATGCGGAAACCATATTGTGAAGGATAAGAATCTGCTTCTGGCACTCAATGGTGATGGAGATCGATCCAAGCTCAAGCCGGGATCCAATGGTGATGGAGATCGATCAAGGACACTTGCAGAATCCGGTTCCTCACTTTCTCTCTCTAGGTATCGCTTTTTCTCTCTAAAACTCGGAACCTCTTCTCTTTTGCCCTTCTTTTCCCTTAAGAGGTTGTCTGTCGCGATCCCCGGCCTGAATACCCGGTCGGGTATTTTGGGCGGCGATCGGGTATCTTCAAAACGCACCGTCGGGTAACAGGGGAAAATCCCCGGTCAAGGGCAAGAATCCCCGACTGGGGATTTAAGCCTCATGACCGGGCCCCCTTCTGCTTCTCAAACGTCCAAAACGCATTTTCCCCGATCTGCTCCAAATAATACCCGGCCGGGTATTTCTGCTCATGGCCGGGTATTTTGCTCCTCCAGCACATTTCACCCAAAACGTGCTCCTTTCGACCCGAAACTCGTTTCTTCGCCTCGATGCCAACTCTACGTCCTGAAATATGACATAAACGCACAATCTAGGGTGAAATCGGCTTAAAACCCGATAATCAACATCTCAAACGGCTCAAGAATATGTGTAAAAACATGTGTAATCAATGGTTTATCAATTATAAACATAAATCAGGCCTGGAAAGTAGAAATTTGTATGTTAGCAATCCAAACATCAAATTATTAAATAAATCAGATTGATCACATTCAATCGTATCAAATAAGAATTTGATTTCCCCAATATCAATTTGTGCTTAAATTAGTTTAAGATATTGGATTGAAAATCTCCAAATCCAATTAAGTTTAAGCAATTAGGTTGGAGCCAATTCGTTCAAACTCCTGATTGGTTGGGGTAACTTCCGTCGCCTATGCGCTCCCGGGATTTTGCTCACCCACAAATAGCATCGTGGACTTTTGCCCACCCGCTTTCAACTCACTATCCATAAACCCATATCCATATTGGGCCTTCACCCATGTCCAAACCCAACAAGAAACCAAAACTTTTCTTCACAGCCCACACGAGTCATTTCTGACTAAATTGTAATCCAATCTTTAATTTTTGTCTACAAATCCATTCCCAAATCCCCAAATGTGAAATGCCTTTATTCTCCGATGCTACAAATAAACCGAATCGAGTCTAGTTTTACTAATCTTAGGCCCCGTTTAGTATCATTTTGTTGCTGTTGTGGTTGCAGTGGTGTTTTGTAAACAGATGTACAACCACAACAGGAAAAAAACAGAAAACACAAACCTGTTTAGTTGATAAATCTGAAAAATCATGAAAGCTGACAACAAGAAACAAAAACACGTTTAGTTACTACTATAAGAACTAAACACCAGAAAAAGAAATATGTCCGCAATCGAAATTAACATAATACATTTAATAAACAACAAAACAAAGAACATAGCAATCAATCGAAATTCACAAAGAACATAGCAATCAATCCAAATTCACAAATAACTAGTCTAGCAATCACTACATACATACCATAATTCAAGAACATATTAAGAAGCAACAATATTAACATAATACATTTAATAAATGGTTTGTTTTACCTGCTGCGGGGAGATGATCGGTGGCCGGCGGAGGCTGGGCGGCGGCCGGCGGAGGCTGGTCGGCGCTGGGCTGGGCGGAGGCGCGCGGCTGGCGGCGCTGAGCTGGGAGGAGGCGCGCGGCTGGGCTGGGCGGAGGCGAGCGGCTGGCTGCGCGGGCCGGAGGCGGAGGCGCCGCTGGCCGGAGTCGGACGTTCTTGCGGAGAAGAAGAAGCTTGGGCGGCTGATGAGTCTCGACAAAGAAGATGGAAAATGGTAAAAGGGCGGTTGAAGTAGGGTTTTGGGAGGGGGCAGATATGTTTAAAAAAAAAGAAAATTTTTTGCTTCTGTGGGGATTCGAAAACTGGTCTCTTTTAATGAAATCAAGCGCACAACCAGTAGGAATCCCGTGTGCAACATGTTTAAGAATCAGATCCAAAGCTATAAATTGTTGTTTCTCATATTTGGGCCTTGTTGTGCAACTCTGATTCACAACAAAAAATAAAAACCCAACTAAACACGATTTTTTTTCTTGGTTTTCCAAATTTCGTAAAACACAACAGGAAACAAAAACAAGCAACAATACTAAACGGGCCCTTAGCTTCGAGTGCAATAGTCAAAACTTGACCTCGATATGAGTTACAAAAATAGAAAGCTTGAGCTTGGTTCAGCTTGAGCTCGAAATAGTTCATGAACAATATTAATAAGCTCAATTCGTCAACAAAACTCAAGGTCGACTCAAACAAAGCTCGAGCTCAACTCGAATTAGGTTGGGCAAGTCCTATAATTTCCTCCTTCAACTCGGAATATAACCATTTAAATCTTAACAACATCTCTTTACAATCATCCATGACTTGATTTCTTATTGTATCTTAAAAATAACAGTTTTTATCTGAAATCAAGTTAGAATTCAGAAATCAGAGCAAAACTACATTGAACCAGTTATCATATATGACTTCAAAAGCTCCTCAACCCCATGATGCATAGTCTTACACAGAAAAGAACCTTCAGGCTCAGACAAAGAAATATATCACACAGCTTCTCATCTTATCGCCCCTATTTGGTAATTGAAGTCTTTGCACACACATATACCCATATGAGCGATGATGGGTCACTTACATAACTTGGCCTAGGTTCCATAAATGGAGCAAAATGAGATGTAAAATTAAGAATGGCACATAACATTCACAATACTAGCACAAATTATTTTATAGTAGTCTTAAAAGGAAAATAAGAAGAGTATAAAAGAAGAATAATAAATAGAGAAACTCTGCATTAAGTAAAGTCTATGAACAAGGGGTTGGTCTAGTGGTAAATGGTAATACCACTAACATTGAATATGGAGGTCTTAGGTTCAAATCGCTTAAGTAGTACCTAACTATAAACAGTAGACCTATATCACCTTTATCTATAAAAATAAAAATAAAAAGTCTAGTTCAACAACGACTTCTTTCTAGGTCAATGTCTGCAAAGAGAAAAGGGGATAATGTTAAATCATAGGTAATTTTACAAAATTGGAACACACAAAGTAAGTCTAAAATTACCTTAAGCCTCCTTTTCAAACCATAATGATGTATTAACCAATCTTGCGAGCAAAGAAGAGCTTTAACTATTTTTTCCAATGACGCACAAGCACAACTTGGATTAATTACTTTTCCTCCGGCACTAAAGTAATAAGAATAGCCAAAATATCATAAGTCATCCTTCAAAAAGCCTTATACCTCATTCTTTATTGCTTTCGTCACTTAATAACATCAAAATTACAATTTGTCGACATAAACGTAAAAACCATCCACAAGAGAAACATCCAAATTTGATCTTATTATTGTTACATAATTAACATTTCGAACCATAGAATCAAACTTTGTCATGCATGTTCTCTTCTTCCTACTACACTTGAAGTGGTAGAAGCAGTAGAAGTATAAGAAACCGAGTCATTCTTCGCTTCAGGTGATTTCTCAATGTTCCGGGCTTAATAGTCCTCAACATACTCGTTGAAAAGTTTATAAAGTTTATAATAAACTATTTTGATCTCATTAATGAAATCAACCCCATTGACAATATATGAACAACATCTAACATGAAACACTTCTCCATCAAGAGGAAGTCTACCTTCAAAACTAAAGGTTTATTTTAGATTTCTAATAACAACAACGACATTCTAAAAAAGCATTGTCAACTGTAATTGTCGACACTTTTCTCTCAACATCCAGATTAGTTAACATGTTTGTAATGCATAAGCTATAGCAACCTCAGTATGAGATAGTGGGCCATCACAAAAATTAAGAGCACGCTGTTGGAGCTTGAAATCATTATCAACAAACTTACAAGAAACAACATATAACCTAAAATTTGAATAGATTGCCACAACTCAGTAGTCAAACTCATCATAGTCACTCTTAGGAGAAGTTTCTTAAACTTTTTTTTATGGATACCATATGTTTTGAAAACATTAGTTTGGATAGTAGTAGAACTGATTTTTTTGATAGTTTGGACAAATGGTTCCCAAGAACAAGGCATTTCGTGCACTATGAAGCAATGAGAAATGATCTCGGGCACCTTCAATTGATCTTATTTGAAATTATGGATGAAAATGAAACTTTCAGCATGCTCAATAGTTGTTGAAAGATTTGAGTTGCCATTGTGCCTTTTCTCTCAATGAGTGTTGAGGGTTTCAAAGGAAACACCATTATATGTAACACCCCGACTTTTGGGTTCATAATTAACCCAAAATAAATTCACAGTTGGATCTTTGGTTATATTTGAAAACTCGAGTCAGTACAATACCTAAAACTATGTCGTTCAATTATGCACCTTAAACCAAGCGGTGACATGTCTCGAGCATCATTGGCGGACCACATTTATCATATGTGACTGGCATATGGATTGGAGGATTAATTGAGTATAAATTAGATTAATGTCAATCATTAGTGGTGGGATCAAGTAGCTGATGCAAATCAGGTAAACCAAATGAGGATGGGCCATTGTGAGTAATAATAAGGGGGCTGAAGAAAAGGCCGGAAAAGCAAGAGTCTTCTCTCAACTTGCCTCTCCCACCCTCGTTCTGCATCTCCCCGCAAGAAACCCAAGATGATGATGATAATGAGCGCCGGCCATGGAGGATATAAGGGAAAGAGTTTATAGTTCAAGAAGAAATAGGTTACCCAATTCCCATCCCTTCTCCTTAATCATGCCTCTCGACACAAGCCTCGATCATCGCCGCTTGGAAGTGCGAGAAGGGGGAAAGAGGGAGTCGCGAGAGCGGTGGTAGCGACCGAGTGGGATGAGGAAAAACTAGGATCGACGGCTGGATCGGTTCTTCCTAGAGACAACACGACTGGGCAAAAATGAGGTCGAATCAGGAGGGAGAAGATCAACTGAAATTTGGAGATGATGATTGAATTGTCGGTCAAGAGGAATGAGCAGTGGACTCCAAAACTTGGTAGCGAGGACGTCATGGCTGCATCGAGTTGGCCAGCGTGTGAGGTATGATTCGGTTGACTGAGCCATGACTTATTTTCACTAATAATGGTAATCCCTGGGGGTGAGTTATGTGAATAGTAAAACGCGCCTAGAAGCTAGGAGAATCGCATGGGGTGGCATGAGTTCCTAAGTTGGAAAAGCTGAAGTTACGTGGTAAGGGGAATAATTGGTATGGGAATCGAAAATTTTCTGGCCATGAAAAGAGCTGTGCTGCTCGATAAATATAAATTAGAGAAGTAACAGCACCGTTTGAGAATAATTCAAGATAAGAGTCATGATTGTATGAAAATTAGTACTTGGGCTATGAATATTACTAGAAGTTTTGGGGTAGCATTAGTTAGGCTCACAGTAGGAGAGAAATAATTAAGTGACCTGCATAACATTAAGGATTGATGTTAAAACCTAGTGATAAATATAAAAGGTGAGGGCTCCAATTAGTTGAATGCACGGTGACCAATTATTTCCGTTGACGTAGTTGAACGATCATATGGGGAAGATCGCATAGCCTGTGCATCTTGGACAAGGAATTGGAAGGGCAGGTGTTCAATTCAGGTCAATCGACTTGATCAGTCAGGTGAGGTGTAAAGGGGTAAAATCTTCGTCAAGGTCTTTTAGTTTATGTCGTTAATTTCAAGTTATGCTATCATGTGTGTGAGGCATTACACCTCCTACTTAAGGTGGAGGCACGCGTTGTGCTTGTGTACACATGAATGTGTGTGTTGATGTATGGTGAATGGTAAGATGAACCCCCGGGCGGTTGGGCCACTACTAGACGCGGTAGATGGTTGGTCACTACTCGACGAATATACGTAACACAATAGTATACCGAGCATGGACTGGACGACGATACGTAACGCAATACCATTGCCTTAAGGATAGGGACACCGGACGGCGATACGTAACGCGTTGGCCCCTAGTATTTATGTGTATGAGTTAAGGATAGAAGTAAATAACTTCTATAAAATAAGGTTTGGATTAAAAATATTCCATAAGCTATTAAGTATGAGGATGAAAGCGAGAATGACTTTCGTCTAAGGAAGGAAACTCTAACAATGTATTAGCAAGGATTTATTTAGGCAAAGACCTTAGGAAGTAACGACGAGACTGACCCCTTCTCACTCACCGGGTGGAGGAAGGGTTAGTCGAGGTGGATCCTGAGAAGGAGCAAGGCGAGGCGAGCAGTCGTACCAGCAATGAGGAGAAGTCAAGGAGCTCGTGAGGAGTCAGAGCTAGAATAGTTTAATTACCTTGTTGATTGGTTAGGAGTATAAACTGGAGATTTTGGGTTAAGTTGTTTTAAGTGTTTGGATTGTGATTGCCTAAGTGTTAGGGCTTTTCGTTTGAAATTCTGAAACATTGTCAGTTGTTTATTCTTAAAAGTGGTTTGGGTTGCTCCGAAGTAGCCTGTTTTTGGTTTAAATTATGGTTTGATTTTTGAAAAGATTGGGTTGTTTGATTATATGTCTCGTCATTGTTGTTGTAGCACTTGAACTTATAGTGGGTAAGTCTTCTTGCATATGTGCACTGGTTCATCTTATTATGCTTGTAGATCCTTAAAGAGATTAAAAATTCATAAGTTTTAGCCCTCTTAGTTTTTTCATACTGATTTTTATCGTGTAGTATATGTATAAAATTTACCTAGTCCGAAGAGCAGAATCATATTTCCTAGGGTCTCTCACAACTACTAACTCAAGCAGTGAGGGACGAGTTCCATGGTTTCAAATGAGCCTATGGATGTTGAGGTTCCTCAGGGGTGAGTTCCCATTGATTTACAAAATAGAAAAGGAAAAGACAACTATGCAGGAAAAGTGAATTTAAACTAAGGACCGTTGAAGGACACAGAAGGGTGAAGTGTTGCATGGCCAAACTCTTCCTATATTTTCATTGACCGACAACCTTGATCTTGACAACATATGAGATGTTTGGTCTTTATTAGGTTTATTCCTACCATATAACACGAGCTATTGGAACACGTTCAGTTGTGGATCATATACCATTTATTAACAAACCCTCTCAAACTCAAGCCACTCAAATAGGCTTGGAGTTTGCATATTCACATGTCCGGACACCATGTGCTTAACAAAAATAGATGAGGGTCCTCAAGATTCAAAAATGAGACCTTTCAGTCATAGAAGGCTCTAATACCATGTCAAGAACTAGTTGGTCCCAATAACTCGATTTGTTGGAAGAAGTTCAATTGTGCATCATATACTGTTTATTAACAAATGGCCGGTGTAATAGGCAACAATATTGAATACTACAGATTTCTCCTTTGAAGAAGTCAACGTTGTTTGATCAACTGATCATCGATCGCTAGATACTGTTGTGTCCAGTCTCATTCACTCAAGAAGTCAGATTTTTTTAGGAAGTAACATCTCAAGATAGTTCTCGTCTTATGCACACACCCCATGAACACATTGTTATGAGTTTATGACTACCATACACTGCCACTGTCCAACAAAATGCAAGAGATGGTGGTGTGCACTACAAGTTTCCCCCAACATAAGGTGCATTGGATTGTTACCATCCCCCTTCACTCTGCCAGTTCTCTCCTTTTGCAGAATATGTGCAATTCTTCCTCTCACGACTGCCCCTCTACCAATCGTTGGGTAGTCTACTCTACAGCCGTCCAGAGAGTCTATATTTATAAGAAGTGGACTACTAATTACTGACCACGTGTTGGGAGATGATTAATGGCGAAACCATGATTTTTATATAGGTGTGTCAGCTGATAAAAATAATTTAAAATAAATATAAAAATTTAATTCATAAAGTTCACTATTTCATTATTTTTTACATCAAACCACGATGAACTTTCATATTCTAAAAGGTTTCTTAATTAATATTTTGGCTTATGTTGCAAATCAAACATTTTTTAAGCACACAACTAGATCATTATGTATAAAATTTTCACTCAAATGGTCTCGAAGATCGTTCTTGATTAAGTTAATATATGAAAAGGGTCATTTCGCAACATGCAGTTGCAAGAGGTAAAGTCAACACTGGTTAAGATAGGAAAGCTACAAGGTTGTTGGTAGGCGTCGACAAAGAAGTTTGAACGAGAATGGATGTTTCGTTGACTAGACGCTAACAATCGGAGGGAAGAAAGCTGCGAGACATAAGTTGGAGATTTTTTCCCCTCGACACTCACCAAACAGAAAAGGAGAGGAAGAAATGTGAATTTAACCGGGGTAAGGGGATTTTTTTAATGTAAGTGGAAATGAATTTTTAATTTTTGTTATATAAAAAAGGAGAAGTAATGCGATATAATGTGTGTAAATTATCAATCGAGTAAATAAAAATAAGTATCGCGCCATCGAGAGAATCACGACTCTATAATTGACGATTAAAACTAAGGAACTGAAAAGAACAAAAGTGATTTTGTATAAATTAAATATAAAGCAATAACTAAATTATAATCTCTTTGCTTTCGCCTTCTTGCAATATCTTGGACAATCAATTAACTCAATTCGTTTATTAATCAATTTAATTCTCATTCGATCATGATTATCTTTAAAGTTATAGTTATGTCTCTTAATACTCACTACTACTAAGTAGTCAATTAATTTTTAGCTCTCGTACAACCAACTGATTAACTACCTGACCTGAAGTGCGATAAATCCTATCTTTACATATTTTTATAATTTAATGATCACAAATTTCTTGTAGTATAATGAGTGTGTTTCAGTTACGATTATCGATGGTATGTCAAATGTCTCGTATTCAAATATTTTATACCGAAAAAATCGAAATTTCTCACAAAATTTCGAACAGAGGTGACACACCTCTCTATAAAGGTGTCTACCCCTAATTGTTGTGGTACTAGTATTTGACACAAACCCCTCTATGTATATTTATAAGCAACTGATTACGAAGTGACATGCAAAACATTACTTGTAAGCTCTCCTATATTAGAAATTAGAACCTTTCAAGTAAAGGAGAATCAACCTCGCGACGCATTTAACTATTGTTTTGTACCGAATGTGACTTATCACAAATACAAAACTATTTAACGAAATTGCTACCAACTCGATCCTCAAATCCACGCTACAAAGTCAAATCAAATGACATGAGTACACCAATTGGAGGGCAAAAAAAAAAATCTAGTGAGTGGCACCTACTAACGTATTCTTTTTACCATGTGCTACAGCTTTTGGTACCGGATTCATTCACATTCAGCAAAATAGGTCCCATTATGTCCCCCCCTAAAACAAAGTCCTTATCACAAGAAGATGAACCAGCATTAACGAAAAGGCTAGGAGAAAAAGTAGAGATTAATTGCATAATCATCAACGAAAATACAATGCGCAATAAGTAACAAGGTTGAAGGGGGGGAAAAAGAAGAAGAAAGCATTAAAAACGAGAAAAGGCAAACCAGGAAAGAAACGTCCCAGAATAAGTATAAGAGTGATTAATTAGAGAGAGAGAGAGAGAGAGTGAAGAGGTGGGAAATTTAAAATAAAAAACTAATCTTTTCGGGCTTGACGAGGACGTTTCCTTTCAAAAAGCCCGTCCAAATTCGCTTCATGTACATGTATGCTCTCTCCCCCGCGGGACCCACTTTCTCCTCCCCTTTGTCCCCTCTCTCTCTCTCTCTCTCTTCTCTCGCTCTCTAAAACGGTAAAACCCAGAAGAACAAAACAACGGCGCTGGCCGGAACAAACACCAGCACAAGAAGAAAAAAAAAGGGGGAAACTTTTTTTTTCCCCTCTCCTTTCCCTCGCTCACTCATTCACTATTATTATACTTTCGAAATTTGATTAGGGAAGAGAGGAAAGGAAGAACACTAGATTTTCACACAGATAGTCTCTTAGATCCGCTCTTAATTATTAAATTATTTGTTATTATTGGGTTTTGCGATGATGGAGTTTTTAAAAAATGGCAGCGAGCACCGTGCCACGGCGGCTTAATATTTATAATTATTAGTTGGTAGTACTCTTGAGAGTTTGTCTTTGCACCTCTGTAAAACCGGGTGCTTGTTCCTTTTTTTTTTCTTTCTTCTTCTTCTCTCCTTTTTTTCTATTTTGGGTTTGTTTATGTTTATTAGTTGGGGATTACGGATTGGATTTGGATTAGCTCTCTCTTTTCTTTTTTGGGTTTTGTTTATTAGAATTCCAGTATAAAATGTGTGTAGTACTGTAACGCAAAAGAGAGCTGAACTTGTCCTCTGTATTAAGCCTCTTGACTGAGAGAGAGAGACGGCCACACTCTGCATGACTGGGGAAGAAGAAGGAAAAAAACAGAGCGGAGGAGAAGATCTAGAAGATCTGATTATGGGTCTCTGACTTTTCATTTGTCATCTGGGAATTTTTTTTCTCGTTTCTCCAGGTACGGCTCCTTCTTTTCACAACCTGCATTTCTTCTTCTCCTTCTTCTGGGTTGGTTGGATTCTTCTAGCATGTCCATTTCTCTGTTTCTGGATGGAGAAATGGAGGAAGGAGGAAGAAAGAAATTTAAAAGAAAAAAAGAAAAGGGTTGAAGCCGGCTGGTTGGCTTTATGGCAAGTGGAAATGTTTCCTTCCGTTTCCACTTGTACTGGGTCTTCTTCTCCGTTTTTTTATTTATTTTTTATTTATGTAATTCTGCTTAGATTGAGGGAAAATGCCGTCTTCCTTCTATTGCGAGCGAGCTATCCAAGTTTGCGTTTTCCTTTTTGGCTGTAATGAAAAAGAGGGACAATTCGTGGAATGGTAGCAGTTTGATAAGGCAGATGTTATGCCGTGTAGTTATGAACTTGGGGAAAAATCTTTCTGGTTGGCAATTGGGTTGGATTCAATGCTTCTTAGATCCCCAATTTTGGTATTGCTTAAATTACAAGGATTACTGTTCTGGTTTATTTCTTTCTTTTGGAATTGGAATTCTAAAAAAGGTTTTGCCTTTTTCCTTGTCAGGAGGTGGAAAAGGTGAGGAATTGAAGGGCGGGTGGGAGATTTCCTCTTCTTCTTCTTGATTGATTCTTTCTTTCTAGCCGCCATAGTCAAAACTGGGTAGCGGCTGCCTGCTGCTATTCTGATCGTAACTATACCGTTGAAAGATTCGAACTTTGGACTGCCTTTGATTTTCCCCAAATGGATTGAAACAAAGCCGGCAGCCCAATCTGGCCGCAATGTTCAAATCATTATCTCCTGGGCTGCTGCTGCTGATAACTTTTCTCCTCTTCTCGGCGTCCTCCGTCTCCGTCTCCGCTGACAGCGACAACGGCTACCCGAGATGCAACTGCGACGACGAGGGCAGCTTCTGGAGCATAGAGAGCATCCTGGAGTGCCAAAGGGTTGGAGATTTCTTGATAGCCGTCGCCTATTTCTCAATCCCGATCGAGTTACTCTACTTCATCAGCTGCTCCAACGTCCCATTCAAATGGGTCCTCGTCGAATTCATTGCCTTCATTGTCCTCTGCGGGATGACCCACTTGCTCAATGGCTGGACTTACGGCCCGCACACTTTCCAGCTCATGGTTGCAGTCACTGTCTTCAAGATCCTAACTGCCTTGGTCTCCTGCGCCACGGCCATCACCCTCTTCAGCTTGATCCCTTTGCTATTGAAAGTCAAGGTCAGGGAATTCATGCTGAAGAAGAAGACTTGGGATCTGGGTAGAGAAGTCGGGATGATAATGAAGCAGAGGGAGGCTGGTCTCCACGTAAGGATGCTTACCCAGGAGATCCGGAAATCACTGGATCGACACACCATTCTGTACACTACCCTTGTCGAGCTTTCCAAGACCCTAGGGTTGCAGAACTGCGCGGTTTGGATGCCTAATGAGATGAGGACCGAGATGCATTTGACACACGAGTTGAATGGGGGAGATTATGGCAATGTGGAGAGTTGTACGATACCGACATCTGATCCTGATGTGGCGAGGATTAAGGGCAGTGATGGTGTGAACATACTCAGCTCTGACTCCCCTTTAGCTGCTGGTAGCTTCGGCGGGGTTTCTGGCGAGCACGTGGGTCCCGTTGCTGCAATTCGGATGCCAATGCTTCGTGTCTGCAACTTCAAAGGTGGCACTCCTGAGATGATCCAGGCTTGCTATGCAATTTTGGTGTTGGTTCTGCCAGGTGGTGATCAGCCTAGGTCTTGGAGCAATCAAGAGCTTGAGATAATTAAAGTAGTGGCTGATCAGGTGGCTGTGGCTCTTTCCCATGCTGCTGTCCTCGAAGAATCTCAGCTCATGAGGGAGAAACTGGAGGAGCAGAATCGAGCATTGCAGCAGGCAAAGATGAACACTTTAATGGCCAGTCAAGCAAGGAATGCTTTTCAAAAGGTTATGAGTGATGGAATGAAGAGACCTATGCATTCGATTCTGGGGTTGGTGTCCATGATGCAAGATGGAAGTTTGAAAAATAGCGAGCAGCAGATTATTGTAGATACGATGATGAAAGCTAGCAATGTGTTGTCGATATTGATAGACGATGTGATGGAAATTTCAACCAAGGATAGCGGGAGGTTTCCAATGGACACAAGGTCTTTCGGGCTGCATTCAATGATCACAGAAGCAGCTTGCCTTGCCAAGTGCCTGTGTGTGTACAAGGGGTTCGGCTTTTCAATGGAAGTTGACAGGTCATTGCCTGATCATGTGATGGGAGATGAGAGGAGGATCTTTCAGGTGATTCTGCATATGATTGGAAATCTTCTGGACGGGAATAGTAGAGGGGGATCTGTGCTGCTTCGCGTTGTTGCTGACAATGGGAGTCAGGAGAGGAACGATCAGAGATGGGCCGTGTGGCGACACAGCCCGTCTGAGGGTGATGTATCTATTAGATTCGAGATTGGAATAACTTCTGGTGGTTCTGAAGCGGAGGCGTCCACTTCAGCAATGCAGCTCGGTGGTCGAAGATACACCAGTGATGGATTTGAGCATGGCTTGAGCTTCACCGTTTGCAAAAAGCTTGTCCAGGTATGACCTTCCACTAGTAGCCTCTATATATTTGCAAATCTGTGTTTACATGAACTGCTTAGGAGATCCAATTTTTTACTAGTTCATAGTAGTTTTAAGTTTGTTGAACTACATTGTTAACCAGAGGTTCATATTACCAGTAGATGCCAACATTTACTAGTGCAATATGATATTTATACTTTCTTCTTACTCTTGTAATTAGTACCTTGATCTGGGAAGCTCTTTGATGTTATTTCTAATATTTGGAGCTCTTATTTTGGATGTTTAGATGCTCTACTATTTTCAAATTTGAACTATTGGTTGCTAATGGTAAGGTTTTTAGTTGGAAGTTGCACTGTAATTGAGTTGACCTCTGATTCCTATTTCACTATTCCCAGCCTAACATATGAATAGTTGAAATATATGGGAGTTGGTTCAATTTGTTGGGAACTGAGAGCAACCATTTGGGTCCTAATAACAAGTTGCATTGTGGATGTGCAGATGATGCAAGGGAACATCTGGGTAGTGCCGAATAACAAAGGATTCGTCCAGAACATGGGACTAATTCTACGATTCCAACTCCGACAATCGATCAGCCTGACCATCTCCGAACCAGGCGAATCATCTTCAGAGCACCCGAATTCCAACTCCTTCTTGAGAGGCCTGCAGGTGGTCTTGGTCGAGTCGGATGATCTGAACAGGAGCGTCACACGCAGGCTGCTGGAGAAGCTCGGATGCTCGGTCACCCCTCTCTCGTCGGGATACGAGTGCCTCAGCTTCATCGGCCCAGCCACGTCTTCCTTCCAGGTCGTGCTCCTCGACCTCCAGCTCCCGGACCTGGACGGGTTTGAAGTGGCGGCCAAGATCAGGAAGTTCAGGAGCCGGAGCTGGCCTTTGATCCTGGCGATGACGTCGAGCGGCGAAGACGACTTGTGGGAGAAATGCATGCAGATGGGGTTGAATGGCGTGATCAGGAAACCGATAATGCTGCAAGGAATTGCGAATGAGCTAAGGAGAGTGGTTTTGCAGGCAAACAGAGTGGTGTAACAGCAACAGCAGCTCAGTTTTAATTAAATGAGTGAAGCCTAGTAGTGTAAGGGTACAGACTACAGAAGAAAGAAAGGAAAAAAGAAGGGAAAGGTTCAGCATTTTGGTAATCCGTCCACAGGAGAGTGGATGAGCCGTGTATTTTTCCCTCTAGCATAGAGAAATTAATGTCTAGATATATACACAGCGTAACATTTTACAGTAACAAAAAAAATCCAAATGATTATAAAGAGAATTTTAGCTGCCTCGATCTCTAATCAAAAGTATGTCTGATTCGATCGAGAGTTGAATCCGAAATTTCATTCATTTGGATGGCTTGGGAAATGCTCCTAGTTTCTCAGTTCAACAGTACGAGCTGAGATCACCGAACCTCATGAGAGAGACTCGAAAAACAAATATCAGACGGTCCGATCATTGTTCTTTTAGTTTTGTACATAGAGTAACTTCGCACTTCAAAACTCGTTATCGTATTACGATAATTACACTCATGATATTGTATTAATTTCACTTGAAACCAACAAACAAAATCTAAATCATCCTTACTCGCGCCAGCTCTGATCAGAATACTCGTTTCTGATCTGGAATGTGAAATTCGAATAAAACCAAACCAGTCAACTTGATTAGGAACACAGCTAGGGCTAGCTAGCAAGAATTCGTGGAGTCAACCAACGAACCAAACCAGTGGGCCTTATTACACCCAATTTCAATTCAATTACGAGTAAAGTAGGTAGCCACACTGCCACATATACAGCCGTCATACGCAGCCGTAGCCGAAGGAGATGGAGATGAGGACCAGAATGAGAGATATGGGTCGGTCGGTCAGAAGATATGGGTCACGTGAGATCTCGATCGAGACGACGACAATGAACCCACCCAAACCCATACATCGAATCGAATCGAATCTCATGATGATGAGCTGCAGATTCGATATAGAGCAGAAGGGAATTGTATCTGTTGCTGCTGCTGCTGCTTTTAATTTCTAGCTTGGAACTCTCTCTTGGGGAAGAAAGATACAGTAAGTACAGAACAGGGAATTCGCCAAAGAAGAAGAATGTATGGGTCAAAATACCCTGTTTGGCAACCATGCATGAACCTGCCCAAATATATATGAACGTGAATTCAAAACTCATATATTATAATTTCTCTTCCCACCTTTCGTTTTCCCACAGATAATAAATAGTAGCCAAACAATAATTGTAATTATTAGTATGAAATAGTGAAATACATTATATTCCTCCTCTCCAATCTTCATTGTTGGTGGAGTGGAGGGAGGGAGATAACATCAGCTGGTCCCTTTTTCCTACACTCTTCTTTGGCCCCACCCGCACCGGCCACATAAACTATTTTACACCATTGCCAACTTGCTCATCACTCATCACCATCCCAAAATATCCACCGTGAGAAAGCAATTATATTATGAGTAAAGGTAATTAGTAATTAGGGATTTGCTTTGCAACTTAATTCTTGTTTCATTAACCCTGTCAACCAAAGCTGGACCCAAACTTAAAGCTTGCATCTTTACCTAATTTTTCCATTTAAGAGTTTTCTAAAGCCACTAATCAGGGATGCCTATCCCTACATTGATTGGAAAAATGACACCCCCTATTAATTATAGGTTTTTAAGATAATTAATTTGTGTTGCATTTAATAATTTGTATGAATTAAAAACACATATTAATTACTTTTCTTTTTCAGTGCATTGGTAGTTGTATCAGTGCAATGTTAGAGTCAAAAAAAGGAACGTAATTAATATGAGTTCAGTATACAGGTGCAATGGTAGTTAAAAAAAATTATTAAATGCAAAACGAATTTAATTCAAAAAATAACTATAATTAATAGGGGTGTCATTTTTCCAACCCTTAGAAGGATTAGCATGCTAACCGATCCCGACTAATATGTCCATTTTTTCCCTCCTTTCTCCACTATCCATATTATGGTCTATCGGAATTCGGTTGTGTTTTGTAGTTTCACGCTGTAGAAATATATTGAATATTTATCCCTTTTTAACTCAACGGTGATTTAATTATATTACTGAAAATATTAATTTAATCATCAAAATTATGAAGAAAAATAATTATGATACATACAAGTATTAATCAATATTCAATAACATCGTCATTCGGCAATGGCTATGGATGGGCGTTTGGGGTTGTTTATTCTGTGGAGGGGGGATGGATTCTTTCATTTGGACTTTTGCTTTGACCGTAGTAGAGGGGGAAAAAAGTTGGTGGCTTTTCATTTTCTCACGCGACACCTGGAGGTGGAGTCATTGCCTGTGGGCCGCCCTACATGGGCCCTTCTTCATTTTTCAAGTGAAAATGAAGAGCATAGAGAAAGGTGCATAACTAAAGTTAGTTTTGTTATTATGATTTATGACTATAACTAAATATAGATGTTAAAATTGTCATTATAAAATAAATAAATAAAATTATGGACCCCATTAATTAATAAGATATAATGTGTAAAGGAATACTGAAATTTCCTTAGTAAAAACAACTAATAAAATTAAATTTACAATAAAAATTATTAATAATAACCATCAAATAATATTTCATGATAAAATTGCTCAAAGTCGCAATTTCAGACCCACTCAAGCTTGTAAGCATTTTTGTTGTTGATTATGTCACGGAGTTTGGTGACCAAAAGCTTTTACCAATTTGGGCTCGGAGGTTTTAGAGAAGTGTTTTTCAAAAAACAATAATTAATATATGATCGATAAGCTATTAGAAGTAATTTTTAATATTAGGTAATAACTAGCTAAAATTATTTTATATGAAATATTAAAAATTTATAACATTTAACTTTTATATTAATAATTTTATTTTAATATTTATTCCAATTTTAAAATAATATGAACATCATATTTTTAATGATAAATATAATCTTGTATTTTCATAGCATCTTTTCAAAGAAGTCCTAAATCGGAACTTATACTTTTATGTTATAAACAATATTTGGATTATTCTATTATTTTGTTTCAGGAGTGTTGCATGGGTTATTTTGGCTTGAAGAGTGTGAGTGATTGATTGTGGCTTGAAGACTTGGACAATTACTAGTATTAATATTGTAACCTAAGTGATGTGTCTGATTTTTTAGTTAAACTAGGTGGCGATGTAGCGCATTTTCACGGGTGGAGATGGCCTATGGGCATGTATTATGTGGCCCGTTATGCTGTTTTGTTAGTAATATATGATTGAGAAGTTATATATGGCGGTCAACATCCAATTTTAAATGTTTTGAAAATTTTGGCTAATAAATGATATTTGCCTAAACCCAAGTAGACTCATTGATTATGAGTACGGTATGGGTGACGTATATATGGGTTTGGAAGTTTGTAGATGGGTTTTGGTCGGATATGGATACTTCTATAATCTAAATGTATGAGTTGAGTATGGATACCCATTTATTCGAGGGCGTTTTAATTACACACACAAAAGTTAGACCTATTTGTAGGACTTCAAAAGCTTCGGTACTAAAATGTAACACACACAAAAATTAGCTACTAAATGTAATGTTCCATCAACATTTTGAGGAATTATATGCCAAAAAAATAAATTTAGGTTATAAATCTATAGATCTATTAAATTTAGGTACCTAACTATAATTTGCATAGTTGAGGCTTAATTCCTTTTATGGTGACGTATTTAAGATGATAATTATTTACCATTTTATAGAAAAATAGAAACTATTTATTTGATATGTGTAGATACCACTACAACAAATATGGTCTATGGTGACAAAATTCTAATTTGTCATTTGTTACTTTGTCACCACAGAGTATATAATGTGACAAAAAGTAATTTCGTCATAATATAATCAGATATTGTGACAAAATTTATGGTGTCACAATTATTTTGTCATAATAACTTCGGGTCGGATGATTCGCAGTTCTATAGTGTGACAAAACCAGTCGTCACAGTACGGTTTGTCACTTTATATACCGTTAAATTGCAATGTGACAAACTATATTGTCACATTGATTGGAATTTCAGTTGGCGGGAAAGATAGGAGGGAAATATTTATGTGGAATATGACAAAATTAACGTTTTGTCACATTATAATTTGTTTTTATTTTTTCCTTTTATGCATTGGAAAATAGATTGAGATGATCTAACGCGTGGGTGAGGTTTTCGTTTCCCTCTCGTTTTTCACTCTCCAAAATTCATAGCTCCTTTTCCCCCTCTTCAAAAACCTAGTTCCAGAATCCAAAATCGGCCTAGCTCCTCTCCTCCTGCAAGCCGTCGATTTCCAACACAGCCACACTCATCAGTTCAGCTTCCAACGAAGGTATCCCGCTGTTCCATAGCTTGATTTTTTTGTTCTGCCAATTGCATGCCAGTTCGTGTTGAATCAAAATTAGGCCAATCGTTGTCTTCATCTTCGACTACTGGAATGGGTCGGCGTCTTTCTTCCATATGGAGTTTGTTTTGATTTTGGTCATCGTCGGCGTCGTCCTTCCATCTACAATGGAGCGAATATCCGTTTGCATATGCCCCTTCCTCTCCCTGTCCCATTTTGAGCAGTTTCATCTTCGTTTCCGTTTTTCGGGTCTTTCGATTGTGAGAGTTTTTGTTTTCGGTCATTGTTGTCATCTTTCTTCCTTATGGAATGGATAGAATCTTCTCTTCCTCTCTTATCTCATTCGACTTGCGGGGTTCTGGGAAGGGGAAAACATGTTAGATTTTAGGGTTTGAATGCTATGGGTTTTAGGGACTGACAACTAGGGATTTTAAGGGCTTTATTATATGAAGACGATGTATAGTAGAGGCTGTTGGTTTGATTTTAGGCACTGCCAGTGATCTGGAATAGACACTGATCTTTGCTCGTTGCCATTGAATTAGACTGATAATGGCACAACTCTCCTTTCATTGATAATTTGTTGTTGTTGGTTTTGATTATCTGCCAATTAGATTCTCAATTTCTTGACCTTTTTTGTATTGTACAGGTGAATTGGTAGGATTGATTGAGGCTGAGCTTGGTGTGTGGATTGAGGCTTAGAACTCAACAGAAGGTTAGTGTTATTTTCACGCAGAACCTATGGATAAAAATTGGGGGTGCTGCTTCTACTAATTCGTGTACAACAACTAAAATTGAACGCTTAATTAAAGATTCCCAGCAGCCTTTGTTTCCAGGTTGCGAGAAGTATTCTAAACTTTCATTCCTTGTGAAAATGTTGAACAATAAAATAGTTACCAACAGTAGCAACAAATCATTTAATATGAATTTAGAGTTGGTAAAGGATGCTTTACCAAATGGAGACACTTTACCTAGTTCATATTATGGAGTGAGGAAGTATATGAAGGATCTGGGGTTCCATTATTACGTTATAGATGCCTGCCCTGAAAATTGTGTGCTATTTAGAGGGGCTTTGCAAGGGGCAGATACCTGTCCAGTGTGTGGAAAATCTAGATATAAACCTGATAATGGCAAAGACAATAAGGTGGCTGAGAAAAGGGTAAGATACTTCCCGTTAAAGGATAGGTTGCAGAGGTTGTTTACAACTAAGGATCTAGCTAGAGATATGAGATGGCACAAGGATAAAAGGGTTGATGATGAGGTCCTTAGGCACCCAGCTGATGGGGAGACATGGAAGAAATTTGATAGGGATCATGCTTGGTTTGCTGTTGATCCTAGAAATGTTCGACTAGCATTGTCCATTGATGGTTTCAATCCCTTTGGTAACATGTCTAACAGTTATAGTATGTGGCCAGTGGTTGTGACACCATATAATCTACCACCCTGGTTGTGTATGAAGGAGTCTGTAATGTTTTTGAGTGTTCTTATTCCTGCTGAAGAGTCTCCTGGTAACAAGATACATGTCTTCCTAGAACCGTTAATAGAACAACTGAATGAGTTATGGACTGTTGGGGTCAGAACATTTGATGCACATACGGGTCAATATTTTCAGTTACATGCTGCTCTTTTATGGACAATCAATGATTTCCCTGCATATGGAATGTTGTCTGGGTGGACTACTAAGGGAAAATTGGCTTGTCCAGTATGTAGTAGCGAAACATGTTCTTTTCGTTTAAAATATGGTAAGAAAGAGTGCTATATGTCCCATCGAAGGTGGTTGGATAAAAGTCATCCTTGGAGAAGAAGTAGGAAATTTGATGGTACGATAGAAAATAGACCTGCCCCTAATATTATGTTTGCTGAAAATGCAGTGAGTCAATTGGACTCCATTTTTGGTACCGAGAGAGATCTTAACACCAGTCAGAGTCATAAAAGAAGGAAGCTACCTAATTCGTTAAATTGGAGAACAAGGGCTGCATTTTGGGGTTTACCTTACTGGAAAACCATTCAGTTGCGACATAATCTAGATGTAATGCATATAGAGCAGAACATTAGTGAAAATGTGTTGGGAACGCTTATGGATATGGATGGGAAAACCAAAGATTCTGAAAATGCTAGGAAGGATTTAGAACTGATGGGAATTAGGCCAGAGTTGCATCTGCAGAGGGACGGTTCTAAGGTATGGATGCCACCTACCTGCTACACTTTAAAGTTGGCAGATAGAAGGAAATTGTGTGAATGGATTAAAACGATAAAATTTCCAGACTCATACGCATCAAACATCTCGCGGTGTGTCACATATGAAGGCAGAAAAATTTCGGGGATGAAAAGTCATGATCATCACATATTCATACAACGACTTCTTCATATTGTTGCTCATGGTTTACTACGCAAGGATGTCTACCCTGTACTAGCAGAACTTAGTGGTTATTTTAGAGAGCTTTGTTCAAAGACAATGAAGATGTCTGTTGTGCAAAAACTTAGCCGTGACATTGTTTTGATTCTGTGCAAGCTTGAGTTGTTGTATCCACCAAACTTTTTTGTTGCCATGATGCATCTAGCAATACACCTACCTCATGAGATTGAACTTGGAGGGCCAGTTCAATATAGGTGGATGTATCCTATGGAACGGTAAACTTTTATCGCCAGCCCTTGTTTATGTTTACTAGGTTCATAATTTTTCTGTTCTGTGCGTGAAATTGCATTTGTGCACCTGTTTAGGTATCTTGGCACTTTGAAAGATTTTGTATGAAATAAAGCGCATCCTGAAGGGTGCATTGTTGAAGCCTATATATCCAAAGAATGTCTCGGCTTCTGTAGTAGGTATTTGGAAGGTGTTGAGACGAGAGTCAATCGTTTAGATAGGAATGATGATGGTCCTGATGTAGAAACCAGTGGGTTCACAATTTTTACCCAAAAATCCAGACCTCTAGGAGGTGTCACCACTGAAATATTATCTCCCTCTGCATTTGCTAAGATTCAGTGGTACATATTAAATAATTGCGAAGAGATAAAACAATATATTGAGTAAGTCTGATGTCCATAATCTCTATGCTAATTTTTAATTAAAACAAACTCAATTATTTCATTTATAAGGGTTCTGCATTTGTTCCAGCATGCATAGAGAAGAGTTTTTGAAGGCCAACCCTAATAGTACAACCCAAAATGTGGAAGCTGACTTCCCATCTTGGTTTAAAAGACATGTAAGCATGAGTTAACCCAGTTTTTGGGTTTTTTTTCATTGATTTTTTATGTCAACCTTATTTGACTTTATTTACCTTTGATTCCTTTTTTAGGTTTCTAAACTATACTTGAACGGTCTATTGGGAAAACAGACCACCTATATAGTTTGGGGTTAGGTCCTGATGAGAGAGTCTCTAGATACTCTGGAATTGTAATGAACGGTGTTAGATACCATACAATTGATCGTGAAAAGGGTCATCATACTCAAAATAGTGGTATTGTTTCAGAAGGGGATCACAACTCATAATTCATAGACTTTTATGGGGTTCTTGTGGACATCATGAAGGTTCAATACTGTTATGGATGTTCTGTTTACTTGTTCCAGTGTGACTGGTTCGATGTTGGCGACAAACGAAATAGAATTAGGTCTGATAGCTACCTCACTAGTGTGAACATGAGTAGGAAATGGTACTTAGATGACCCTTACATATTAGGAAGTCAAGCCAATCCAATTTTTTACATCAGGGATGTGAAAAATGGATGTGAGTGGCATGTTGTAGTGAAGGTTAGTCCAAGGCATGTCTATGATGTGCCTGAGAGTGAGGAAGACATAGACTCAATGTATGAAATCGAGCCATACCAACAAGAGGAGACGTTCTGTGCAACTGATATTCAGAGTGAAGACCACGTGATAGAGTCATTGGTTCTGCAAGATGAACCAGCAACTCTGGTAAATTCACGAGGCACCAAGGAAGTGGCTGAAGTTGAACAAGAAGATGTAGTTGGCTGTGATGACACGTCTGATGAGGAGGATGATACACTAGTTGATTATGGTGATGGTTTGTCTGAATTGGGACAACCAAGTGGTAGTAACCCAGTTGAGAGTGGTAGTGAGGAAGATGAGTACTATTAAAGCAGTTTGTGGTTTTGGTCAATTATATAGAATATATGTATACCACATTTGGAATCAATAAAATTTTCACATTAATGGACGTATAGAAAGCATATAGAGTGTTATTATTTCCTTCATTATTTTGCTAACATATGTTGCTAATCTGTTGGCTATCTCTAACTTGCTGGTAGGTCTATATAAGAAGACTGTAAGAGTTAGCATCACCAGCTTGCAGGTTCGAGTTAATTTGTTATTATTTTTCACTTTATTTAACTTTTAACTGTTTGAAAGTGACCTGTCTTTGTCTTGTAATTCTGTTTGGCAGATATGCCGCCTGCTCGTAAGAGATTGGCTAAGGGAAATGGTCAGAATGTGCCTGCCCGACTCACTAGATCCAGGATTGCAACTGCATCTGTGGATGACATTGAGGAGGCACAACCACCAACACATCCACGCGTGAGTCACAACACACTGGGGTAAATGTGGACTCACCAATGGATGAAGATCGTCCAAATGACACAGAAGAAGGCCAGTCTAATGACACAGGTCTTGCTTGGTGCCTGCTAATCTGTTTAGCTGTGCTTTTTGAGCTGTAAATTGATGTCTTCTGTTTTGCAGAAGAGGCACCTAGTAGGAAAAAGCGTGGCAAAACCAAAGGGTATGCTGTGAAAAAACGATTGGAGGAAGGACAAAAGATTGGAGGAATCATAATTGAGGAAGGCGCCAAAGCACCAGTGGGTAGCAATGAAAACTTGTTCAAGATGGAGATGGGAGTTGTTGTTCGTGTACTAGCTCCGATTAGGAAGTTCTTTTGGACTGAAGTCACTGAGGAAGAAAAGCTGCCTCTCTTTGCAAAAATAGAGGTAATAATTTAGTAATTCTAATCTGTAAATAGTGTTGCAGTGAAATGTTTTTTGCCCACTATGTTAATGATTTATGTTATTGCATATGGTAGAGTGAGTTCGACATAGATATGAGTGATCCACATGTGAGAGAGATGGTAGATGGGATTATTGCTGCTCGGTTTAGAAGATTCAAGCACAATTGCCACCAACATTATAAGAAGGAATCTGATCCTATCAAAGCTCGAGAGAACCCCAAGAAAACAGTGAATATCGATGACTGGAAGGTGTTGTGTGATCATTTTGAAAGCCCTACTTTTAAGGTATTGGTAACACCTTCTCTTGCACATGCATTCTTTTTTTTATATTCACGTCTAAGTAATGTTTTCGTTCTTGCAGAAGCAAAGTTTAGCTAATGTTCAAAATAGAGCCATGCAGATCCATCCTCATACCAGAGGTGCTAAGTCACAGAGTCAAAGGTTGTATGAACTGGTAAGTAGAGTGACTCAGCATTGTCTTGGTAAATTAGCATGAAATTATCTAATGTCCAAAACTCTGATATTACGAACAGAACAATAAGGAAGCAGCTGTTGAACCAACCGAGAATGATGCAGAGGAGAATGTACCAGCAGAAGCCTCTGAGCCTCCAGAACTACGGGTGTATGCTGATACACGTAAGAAGCGCGATGGACAATGGATCAATCCTGCAACCAATGCAGTCAAAATCGCGTTTTAAAACTTAAAAACTTACGATTTTACACTTTTAGGTCACCAAAACGCTTTCGTTTCTATATAAAATCGTTAGTGCATAAAATCGGACAAAATTACGTTTTAAAGCTTAAAATCGTACGCTTTTACGCTTCTAGTTCACCATAACGCTTTACGCTTTTAGTTCACTAAATGGGTATTCTTTTCAAGAAATTAATTACAAAAAGTATATTTTAAAGGTAAATCACCAACAATATGATACATTTGAGATTAAAAGATAAATACCAGGTACTTGGATGCATTCTCATCTTCAATAAAATAATCTAATTCACCAGCTAGGTCATTCTCAAATTCTAGTATAGAGGGGAATGTGGCTTATTATTAAGATTATTTATGTTTACGAACTTATTGTTAAGATGCTATAAGTTGGTTTACTTTAGACATAAATTGAAGGTATTTATTAACTTATCTAAATTCCTAGCACTCATATTTTTACATAGTCTATGTCATACTTAACAACTTTTTAGTTATTTTACAGCACACGTAAAAAACTTATGCTTTTACGCTTTGATTCTACGCTTTACGATTTAACCCATTTTCCGCTTCTAGGTAGAATCGCGCTTTTGACTGCATTGCCTGCAACTAAGAAAAATTATGTAAGAATTAGTTGATCTAACTTTTAACATGTTAAGCTGAATGCCTTCATTTGTTAACAATGGACCAAACCCACCTTTTCATCTACATGAAGATATGACTGATCTTCAAAGAAAAGCTATTGAGGAAGGAAATGAGGTGTCTGGGGTTGAGATTGTGGAGAAGGTCTTGAAGAAAAAGCCTACCTTTGCTCGAAACACAAAGCGTACAGCTAGGGAGCTCCAACTTGAAGCACAATTAGAAGCTGAAAGAGCACAGAGGCAAGCTGAAAAGGAGAGTTTTGAACTAAGAAGCAAGCAGATGGAGGAGCAGATTGAGCAACAACAACAGAAAATATCAAATCAAGAAAATAAATTTGATCAGATGGCAGCAGCACAAAAAAGCCTTGAAGCTACTGTAAATCAGTTGGCTGCAAAGATGAATGCACTGCAAGGTAAGATCCTTGTTGTATTCGACTGTTTGGATGAGATTAGAATTTCATTGTTGGTTTGTTGTTGTTGTGAATGGCAAAATCTGACATATGGTTATATTTATCACATGCAGGGCCAGGTAGATATGAAGGCGTGAAGAATGTTAAGTTGCAGCTATGAAGGCTTGATGTTTGAGTTGAGGTTTAGGTAGTGAACTAATGATGTAGATGTGTAGGTTATGAACACTTTTGGATGTTTGGCTTGCTGTGAACTATGAAAGTTTGCTGGATGTTTGAGTTCTCTAGAATGTTGGAGGTTTGATTACTCTTTTGGATGGTTGGTAGCTATGAATGAAATAGTTCTTTGGATATGTATAAAATTCATTTTGTCATATTGTCTCTGTAGTGCAGTTCCAAATATGACGAGCAAGTTGTCACAATACAGAAACAATTTGAAATTATCCAGTTTTAAAAGATTTCACACAGTGACAAATGTGTTTTGTCACTTAAAACATAAACTATAATGTGACTAACCTAGTGACAATAATTATTGTTACAATAAACTATTTTGTCATAATAGCCGCTTCAAAATCGCACGACATGCGTCTCATCATGTGACAATATATTTTGTCACTTAAGAACTTCATTGTGACGCCGTATATTTGTCACTGGAGCAGGAAGGGTATGGTGACAAACTCCATTTGCGTTTGTCACAATAAATCTATTACGACGAGCTTCCGGTAACAAATGCACTTTGTCACAAAGTTTGTCACAACAGATTTTACGTGACAAAATCGGGACCTGTAGTGACAAAACAGATTGTCACCATAGACCATATTTGTTGTAGTGTACCTAGCCAAACATTCCATGTATAATTGTTGAAAGTTCTAGCCCGAGTGAAAAAGAAAAACTCTAGAGAGAAGTAAAAGGAATACAAACCGGAACTTGCTTAAACTTTCACACCTTCAAATCTCATAATGAAAAATGACGACTTTCTAATAAGTAATAACCATATATATGTATTTTTAATTGGACTCGACATTGAACTGAAAAAGTTAGTGGTTCATGGTTCAATTATTAATTCTCTAGACTATTGGTGAATCGTGTCAGGACTCGTTCATACTTGTGATTAGAGTATATAAAAATAGTATACTAATTAGGGTTAGACGAATAAGGCAAAGAAAAAAAATAAAGAAAAGGTTATGGAAGGCGAGTGAAAAATGGAACGAAGAGGGAGTAGATGATGGAAATATTTTAATCAATTATTTTAGTTGGCTATCAATACAACATTCAACCATTTTCACCGTAGCAATTTATTGACACTTGCTTAGGTAGATATCGCACATTTTGTTACATGTAGTTAGTAAAAGTTTGTTTAGTACCCCGTAAATGTACAAAATAAGTTTATAAAATTCGATCTTGCAATATTTTAGAGTCGTCTCTCTTTTATCATTTGTTTAATGTTTCACGTAATGAGCAAATATAAAGTGGTCGAATATTCTCCTACAGTTGAGTGATACAACATCTTGTATGGTACAAACTAAATTTATACTTTTATGTTATGGTAGATTGGTTCAAAAAGATGGGTGAATTGAATTCATGGATTCAAGTGAAATCTAAACATTGAACCAATATTTGAATTTAAAATTTAAATACCAAAACATAATTGTTCAATGATTTTACATTAAAATTAATTTTGAGATAGCAAAATATAAAATATACATTATAATGACTAAGTTGTGATTTGGGATATCAAAATGTAAAATGTACACTATGTTGACTAAGTTGTAATTTGAATTGTGTGTATGTTATAAACCGGTCGAACCTTCTCAACTAATTAAGCTAACCCACACACATATACATATTTGAATAGGTGTGTTGTGTGTGACATTTTCTCCTTCCTCCACCATAGAATAGATTTAATTTTGCATAGAACCACACATTGGTCACATAACCATAAATTGAAATTCCTTCCATTGTACTTAAAATAGAACATATTAGGTCAACTTTTAACGGATTGGTAATTATATTAGTTGTTGCACCATTTGTTGATTGTTTTGTGGTAAATTTTCATATCCATATGATTTTGTGTATCGAATGCAATACACGTATGAAAATAAGCTATGTTATGTGACATATCATATATAATTAGTCGGGTGACCCACGTGTCTCTCTAATCCATCTCCAAAAGAAGAATTCTCGATAGATGGTGGGATATAGAAGCATAGTGAGTGGAGAAATCCGTGTGGATCCTCAATCACTTATGTATACGTCGACTATCACTCTAAAGCAAGTCTAAGGAAACTCTATCTGGAACTTGCATGTGCAACGTCTATTCCTTCTGCACTCAACTCCGTCAACCCCAGTCCCCAGCTTTAGTACTCAACTCCTACAGTCCGTTTTCCAAGCCCAAGAACCAAATCCCCACTGTCCGAGTAGTGGAGGAGTTAAGGACTTTGAGAGAATATGATCTTGGTTACTTACTACGTAAATTTGACCCTTATTCTATATCAGACCAACAAATCAAATCAGTTCACTATAAAACGAAAATCTAAAGTTAATGAACATTGAACTACAAAAAACATTTGTTGATAGCAAACATGAAATATATTTGTAGATCTAGCAAGTACTGATGAAGCTTGTAATCCACCCTCCACTTTTCCATGTCCAATCGAAAACGCCAATAAGAAAGGCATAGTCAAACCAAAAAAAGGATGGCCCTGGTTACATGCTTCAATAAAATTTAGCAACTTGGCTAATCTGCTGCTAATCGCTGTCAATCCAAAAGCAGACTGGAGGTATATAGTACTAGCAGCAGCCCAGGGGAGCTGCATCTATCTGTATGCTCTCCAAATAAATTCCACTTCCTAAACCCCAACAAACAAACAATAAACCTAGCTCCTTCTTAAACAAATCAATCAATTTGTCATAAAGCTTTGTCTTTCTTGGTGCTTTGGCTTTTGCATGTGGCGGTGAATCTAGCAAGCCTCTGCCCCTACCAACTTCACTGTATACCTCATAATCATATATGAGCTTAATAGGAAAATAGTTTATAATTAAGAACAAAATTTTAACCAAAATAATATAACTAAATAATTAGGGGGTATTACATATTGTATTATTATGATCAAGATCTAGCACAATAATTTGAAGCGTGAACGCGATCTATGAATAAAACTTTACAGAAATTAATTGATAATGATTAATAATTAATTAAGGCTAATATTCTACTCATGGGGCTGAGCGAGGACGTCAACATGAGATATTTATTTCTATTTTAAGTTTCGTCTCTGACTGACAGAGAGAAGAAGAAGAAGAAGAATAAATGGGTTGTGGTGCAAGCAAGGGGGGATGCATCCCAGAGATCACTTCTTAATTAGATTATTTATTATTATATGTATTACCCTCTTCTCTTCTCTCTCTTTGCCACAATTACTAATTAATCATGATTAGGATGTGTTAAATATAATTTATTTGTTATTGATTTTGGTAACATCCAAATACCTAGGCGAACAGTGCCTCAAAATTGACAAGCTTGAAAGTGAAAGCTGCGGGCGGGCTGGCACCAATTTCTAGCTACGTGCATTGTTCTGTGTATATAGATAGAATTGACGCATAAATATTATCAAGAGCCAATTCATCATCCTTGTTATTGTTTTGATCGGTCTCTCCCAAAATTTATTTCAACAATAATTATTTGTTGCTTTCTTGACTTTTTACCCCTTTCTTTACATCGCTTCATTATGTCTGTGTTTGTAAGAAACTAGCACGCACCTCTCTCCACAATTCAAATTATAGATACATATTGATTAATGATATTATTAAAAGATATCTTACACTGTAATTTTTTTCCCATGCACCCTCCACCATAACTAGAGATGACAATTCTCAATCCAATCCACTAATTCATTAAAAATATCCATCTAATTCAATCCATCTAAATTCAATCAATTTGATCCAAATTC